TGTGGATTCCATGTGGTTGGGTATACAGTGATTCTCTTGGAGTGGTTTTTGGTTTTACTTTACCCTTTCGATTATCATAGACGTTTTTCTTTCGGCATTACAAGCCAATGGCCAGGTTTCCCACAACAGTGACAAGCTTCAGGCAACATTTAACATTAATTCAGTCCCCTAATACATGCAGTAGGATTGTACAGAAATATGTGTCCATCAATTGAGCATAAGGGGTTTGAGCCTTCAGGACTGGTTGTGAGGGAGGTGGCAAGGCAGTACATATAGCTTTCAGCGTGGCCAGATCCACTGGTTTGATTAGAAAATCTCGTCCAGTGTGGATAAGTGGCATTATTAACCATCGGGTGAGCAGGCAATTGCAGTTCCAGCTACAGGGGCGTCACTCAGTTCAGCCACTTCAGTTTTATTTCTGATTTTCCCCAGTGTTTTGCCATAACAACCCACATGCCAAAGGATTTGTGCTTATATTTGACACATTTAGTGTGTTCTAGTTCATCACATATCAATACTGAACACATTCTCATCATATCTAGAGAAAAACATTCCTCAGCTCTATTTCTTCATATGACACTTTATTAACATTGTCTCTCCTGTCAAACAGAAAGTGTGAGTCTGTGACACAATTGTGAATCTTCACAGTTTCTCTTTTAGTTGCACTTATGGAAGTTTTCCTCCATAGCTTGATGAAGGGGAACCTAATGCACTGGACATCACTTTTTTCAGTTTTTAGTCAAACACAGCCCAGAAACTTCAAACTCACAGCCTAGTGCTCTATATTTAATTGATGACTATTAATATTTATGTGTAATGTACTAATATCATTTTATTCATTCATTTTCTTGCAGTTATGACCTTGTAACTCATAATTTGACTTTTTTTTCTGTAAATCTCATAACTGCAACTTTTTATTGCAATCTAACAATACATACTCCAGGACTTTTCATTGAATCCAAACGAACAGTCAATCCCACCTTTCCTGCTGATTCCTTTATACGTAATCGCTACATTACCTGAGCCTTCCCATTTAACCTCCCAGTAACAACGTCCAGTCAGACTCTCTCGACACAGGATCTGCTCCCGATCATAAAATCTGTCTGGATGATCAGTATATGGGTGATGATCTTTCACACATGTTGTTTTTTTGCTCCCTTCAGACAGAATGAGTTGAGTGTGTGTTGTGCTTGGATCCAGTGTGAGATCACAGGCGTCTGAACACAAAAAGAGAGATCACATCATCTATGATATAATTAAATATGCACAGGAGTGTGTGTGTGTGTGTGTGTGTGAGGACTTACATTTTCTCAGTCCTGGTTTGATTCTGAAATGTCCTTCATGGTCAAAACTGAACAGAGACAAAAACAAAAATGTTATGGTATGAGGGAAGACTGTTAAATTAGAAAATGTTGTCTTTTGTGGTTATTTTGGTTTTCCTCATAAGGCCCTCACTATTCTCACCTTGGTCTTGGTTATCTAGTGATCTTGTAAATTTAAGCCCCAGTAAAGATCGGCCACCTGCAGCATCCTCACATGCGATAGACTAGTAGCCAGGACAACTTCTTTATGTTTACCGACGTGACGTAATGACGCAGTGCCATGCTTGAATTTTCAGCGAAAACCTACCCGTACCACTCAAATGAGAAAATATTATTATAAACTAACCGTTGTGAATCGGGCTAAAGTAAGGCTCTAGTTTTGAACACAGGCTGGTTATGTACTTGCTCAAATATTGATTTCAGATCATTTTTAACCAAAAACAAGTTACGGACTGCATCTTTAAGTATTACCAACCTGCACAACAAAGCCATCTTTACCCCTGGCATTAACATGTTTTATGCATTTGGATCTTTCTTGATTTTTCTTTATTTTCAAGCAACATCTCGCATGCTTGCTTAAGATGCAGGTGTTCACGTAAAAAAATTAATAAATTGAATGTTAAATATATGACATATATTTCTCTCTCTCTCTCTCTCTCTCTCTCTTTCATATTGAACTTAATTCATTATATCAGCCTAGACATTAATGGTTTGGATTAAATCACTTATGGTCACCAGACTGTATATTTAAATTTCCTGATTTATGAATTGCCAGAAGGAAGAGTCTCCAACATGGGATCACAGTAAACATTATGTGTTTAGAAATCTTTCTGGCAATAATTTAATCCTACCATCAGCCTAGTTCAAGACATGGGGAGCAGTTAACATCTCAACTGCTGCCCTTATCGAGGGCAAATTAATGGAATCTTCTAAATTCTTTAAAAGGAAATCAGACTAATCATTACAAGATATTAGACATGGACAAATCTATCAGAGATAAGACACATAAAAATAGTACTACTAGAAACCTCAGTATCTGCAGCTGACAGTTTGGACTTGTCAATCCATCAGAGAGCAGCTTCACTCCTGAATCCTGCAGGTCATTGTTACTCAGATCCAGCTCTCTCAGGACAGAGTTTGAGGATTGTAGAGCTGATGACAAACTCTTACAACACTGAGCAGTGATATTACAGCCAGCAAGCCTAAAAGAGATTAAAACAAATGAAAAATAAATTATTAACCTCATTGTACAACTGGTACAACTGGTATTTCAATAATATTAGCTTCATTCTCTAAAATGCATTAAACTAAATGTGATTAAACACTCACAGAGCTTTTCTGCAGTTGCTCACAGCTGGTATCAGTCTTCTTCTCCCCTCATCTGATGTGTTGTATTTCTTGAGGTCCAGCTCATCCAGCGGCTCCTCTGACATCTGAAGCATGTAGATATATATATATATATATATAACGTATTAGTGCTAGAAAAATTTTCTTTTTTTTCACACCTCAGTATCTGCAGCTGACAGTTTGGACTCTTCAGTCCGTCAGAGAGCAGCTTCACTCCTGAATCCTGCAGGTCATTGTTACTCAGATCCAGCTCTCTCAGGACAGAGTTTGAGGATTGTAGAGCTGATGACAAACTCTTACAACACTGAGCAGTGATATTACAGCCAGCAAGCCTAAAAGAGATTAAAACAAATGAAAAATAAATTATTAACCTCATTGTACAACTGGTACAACTGGTATTTCAATAATATTAGCTTCATTCTCTAAAATGCATTAAACTAAATGTGATTAAACACTCACATAGCTTTTCTGCAGTTGCTCACAGCTGGTATCAGTCTTCTTCTCCCCTCATCTGATGTGTTGTATTTCTTGAGGTCCAGCTCATTCAGCGGCTCCTCTGACATCTGAAGCATGTAGGAGATTGTTGAGCAGTGAGCAGGAGAGAGTTTCTTCTCTGAGTGTTTGTCTGATTTCACAAACTCCTGAATCTCTCTGGACAGAGTCTGATCTTTCACTTCCAGCAGACAGAGGAACAGATTGATGGATCTTTCAGTGGAGAGTCCATGTCCATCTTTGATCTCCTCTTTAATGTACTGTGTGGTTCTCCTGATGCTCTCTGAGCTGTTCTCTGTGTGTGTCAGTAGATCCTGTAAAAGTCTCTGATTGGACTCCAGTGAGATGCCCAGCAGGAACCGCAGAAACAGATCCAGATGACCATTCTTACTCTCAAGAGATTTATCTACTGCATCTCTATGCAGATTATGTACCACATCGTAAAACTGCAATGTATCAATATGTTTCATTACATAATGGTAAAATGCATAGAAAGCAGCAAGAAACTCCTGAACGCTGAGATGAATGAAGCTGTAGACTTTCCTCTGATGAATCACAGAAGCTGTAAAACACTCTGTGTTAAAATTCATAAATATGGGAACAGCAGTGCAGGAACATTATCAGTAGATAAACATTAATTTTCTATCTGCTTCTCATACAAAGCTATTGTATGGATTCAACACTTGGAATACACAGCAGCACACAAATTTATATCGAGCATTTCTATGGTATAGGAAGTTATATCATTGGCTTTGTATGCCTGCATTGGGCAGGGTAGTGTAGATGAGAGAGGAAACAATGGGACAGAAAGAGTGGAAGAGAATCAGAAAAAGGACCTTGAGTTGAGATTCGAGATGGTGTTACGCTATATATCAAAACACTGCCCACACAGCTATTGCTTCTGCAAATATCTCAAAACTACCAAATGATTCCATAAGTAGAGTTGAACTCACCTCAGTGATGTTTTCATGAAGTGGGTCTCCCAGTTTACGCTTTTGGGCATCAGCAAAGTGAAATGCCTCTATTATACGATGATAGGTCAAAGTCTTATTCCTTATATTGGACACACTGCTGCTTGACAAGTTGTAACCTGAGATTAAATTATTACTTATTTGAAATTAAACTTAATGGTGATTTTCCATCATCATTTCACTCTCTTTGAACACTCTTAAGGTGTTAACAGCTTAAAGAAGCATTACAATATACAAACACAAGCAAAAGACCACTGCTGTTATTGGCGAACAGCACGTATTGCAAAAACTTCACCAGCATTTATTCAAATTGACTACACTTTCTTCACACAATATATTAATATTCAACTCAAGAAAACATTGTTAAACCATGTATGTACTGATTGGAAAAGCAACAATAATGCACATGGTCTCTCAACAGCAGACAGCTGTGAGCACCGGAGCACGCCTTCTTGAATTACAAATGCATGTTAAGTTTGCTTTCATGCATAAAGATTAACCTCCTAAAATCACTCTGTGTGTATCTGTTATCTGAGAGTTTACTAAAGCCATGGTGCACACTGTACGGGTATTTTGGTCTTTTACAATAGTTGCTTTTCAGACTGTACAACATGATCTTAAAATTCTGGAGTAATTTATGATTGAGCAAAAGATGCTGCATGAACTGTCTGTTTCACTGATTGAACTCAAGGTAATCTGAATTGAACTATTAATATAAAGGTAACAGGAGCTGTTGTGTTGAATGATCATATAGAGAAGGCATACTAATTTGATCTTCACAATTTTATATGGCTGGGTTTTGTATTGCATTTTGACTTCAGTCCCCGTTTACTGTAATTGCCTGCAGAACTGTCTTCATGTTCATCTTTTGTGTGTTTGAAGTCAAATGCTGAAGTAACTAACGAAGGAGGTAATGAAATAATACATAAAGCACAAAGCAGTGTTTTGAGTCTCAGAGACACAGAGCTTACAGTCAAGAGAGTATTACCCCACTTGGTTGAAGCTGCTACCTGATTGCCAATTCAATGCCTAACCCCAACCATGCTGGGAACTGACGGGGTGATAATCTGGCAGTCATTGTTCGGCACCACACCCGCTGTTTATAAGAGCTGCCAGTATGCAAGAATCATTCATGGTAGTGAACTGTGATCATCATAACACATAATGCTGTGGCACACTTAAGACGTGTCAGTAATGAGGGAGGTTAGTGGCACAATAGATAAAAATCCTCTTGTGTAACACCCTCTATAATATTTTTGCACCATAGGCAACTACCTATGTCACCTATGCCATGGGCCGGTCCTAAATGAAATCTTCAGATGGCTGTATTAATATGGTGAATTATTTGTATTAACTGCAGAATGCTAACCTTACCATTTCCAACCTGTAATCCATATATAGACACTCACTACCGCTCCTTATATGCAGATTATATAGTTTGCATAGGGCAACCAACTCTCATGAGGAACACCAGGGCCGGATCTAGGGAAGGCGATGCCCCCCAGATTCTCCTTGTGCCCCCCTATCTGCAGGACACTCAATTTTTCATGATAGCGTACATTATTCATATACTCAAAAAAATGGTACAAAAAATAAATAAATAATAATAATAGCTGAATGGGGACACACGTGAGTCATGTGTCTGGGGGGATGGGGAGCACAACAGTAAAATTCTGCTTAGGGCACCCTTTTGACTAGTAGCCCTGTAGATACTCACTAACCTTTGAGTATGTTGAGAATCAGAGTGAGCACAGGTCCACCGAATGGAGCATCAGGAGCAAAAAATATGTAATTCCCCACAATGAAGTTTAATGCAGACTCATTCAGCATTGACTTATAACACGTTAGGTCCTCACGTGTTATAATCCCTCCTGTGTTACAAGAAACAAAGATTCATATAGTTGCATGCTTTGAAAAAAAAGTTTATCACTAGACCCTTATATATGAGTAGAGTCAAATTGAAGCATTAAATAACCTTCAGCCTTGATGTCATCCACTATACTCTGAGCCAATGATCCATTGTAAAAGGCATTTGCTCTTTGTTCTGCTATCTTCTCATAGGTGTCAGCTAGTTTGAGAAATTTTATGTCATCATTTTTGTAGCGTCTGGACCACTCCAACACACAATATATATTTTGTTAGCTAGATTTCACAAATACTTTGTAACACCCCAGGACGCCGAACAAGACCCTGGTTTCATGGTAACCCGATACATTTACAACCTTGTGGAATGCGAGCCGGCTCGCAGCTGCTTTCTCCAGAGCTAAGGGGTACAAATGCACAGGAGAAATGTGTGTGTGTGTGTGTGTGTGTGTGCGTATGTGTATGTTGGACCGGCTTAATGTGTTTATGTAGTATGTTGGACTAGTTTAAGTGTTTATGTAGTTAATAAAACCTTACTTGTATCACACTTGACGTGTTCATTGTTTACTCATAACCGGAGTGAATAATCATGCAGATTTACGTTACAAGCTTATAGAATTGTACAGTAAGAAAGTTATTTCCCTTAACCAGGAAATTAACGTCTTAGAATTGACAAGACAGTTGACCCTGAGTGGTCAGCTAAATATCTACAGTGGATCTAAAATATGAATAGTTAATTATAACTAGTTATGGTTAATTATTCATATTTCCCCATGAGCCGATTCGCTACATTTTCCTTCAAGATGATGGTGTTTGATTTGCAAAACACTTCACTGGAAAAATAGAGACAAGAACAGAACGAGATGATGTTATGTACATGAAAAGGCTTATGCTTTAGGGACCCCAGTGTAAACAGTGACAGTGTAGTATTATGATCAGATCTGCCTTGTGGTTTATTTGTTGTGTTCATCTGTGGACAAAACAGCTGCCACTGAACAAGTGTGTTTTTAATAATAAAAAATAAAATCCTAGTTTTTCACTACTTAAGAAATCACTTCTTCTTACCACAATGCTGCATTATTCAGAATTGCTTTCTCCTTCTCTTTAATGGCTTTGGCTAAGGCATTTCCAATCTTAAATCCCTTGCGTGCCAGCTTTATGCTGGGCTCAAACAGCTCCTTCCATGGCAGTCTCCCGCTTCTATTGTGTGCCAGTTCATAACCATACAGTTCTCCTGGTACAGCTATAAACAGTCCCGCTATTCATGTCAAAACACAGAGGAGTGATCTAGTCATTCAGGGGTTAAAATGGCAAGAAATCATAAGAGAAATTCACTTTGTTGTTTTAATGATAACATGTGCTTACTGAATCTTTTCAGTGTTGTAAAATCATAATGGTCACTAGAGTTTGGAAAATGTTCATCATTGGTGGTTTACCTGGATTTTTCTCTGTGCCATCGCCAAACATGTTCTCTGATGCATTCTTTGGAGCAGTTTCTCTGGCATTAATCGTCTCCACCGTTCCTGAGGGTGAAAACATGAACTTTTAATTTTCATTTAACAGTGACGTGTTGGAGGCCTAATGATTATAGCGGTCACTGTAATTTCTGGATTAAAATTCCTGTCAAAGGATCACAATTCTAATGTGGATCTGAACTATAACCTCCTCCAAATCAAATGGAAATAAAAGGTTGACAAAGAAGTTCAAGCCTGTAACTATAGCATTAACTCAAACCCTAAAATCTGAATGACCAACAAGGAGGTTGATCCAGGAACCTGGTCAAGGTGTGGTTTTCTGATGAACAAACAGCATAAAAAAAACAAACAAACAAACAAAACAGGCTATTTACTAAGTGTGTCACCAGAATTGCACTGTAAAAAAAATGCATTTTCACAAATAAAATTCAGTATAATTTTACAATAATTTAACATTTTCTTTAGAAGTGTGAAATTCTATAAAATGCATTTTTACCAAATCTACCTTTTACAGTTATTTAACTGATTATGTGCGTTATTGAAAAATGTTTTTTTTTTTTTTTACTTTAAAATAAATGCAATTGTCATGATTTTAACATGTTTATATTTTACAAATATAAAATATTTGTAAAATATCCCCCATGCCCCCCCCACACACACTTTTAATAAACACGTAAATTCGTCCCCTGCACTTTTTCGGTCTGTTCATGTAAAGGATTTCATGGGCCAATTTGAATAAATATAGATTTAAATTAAAAAAGAAAATATAGTCTATGCATGACCAGGGGCCTCATGTATACAACTTTACGTAGATTTCATCCTAAATGTGTGTGTATGCACAAAAGCTGGATTTTGCGTATGTACAAAAGTTATCAGATTTATAAAGCCATGCGTACGCCAGAACTTGCAAACAATTCCCATTGTAATGCACATCCATAGTTACTTTGGGGGCCCACTTAGTGAAACCATTCACTTATATACCTAATCCTTAGACAAAGTCTGCAAAACTAAAAACACATTACGTGCTTTAAACTCAGTTTGCTATTGTAAAACAAACTTTTTGCAAAACTCTAAACACAGTTCTCTATATTACACACATCAATCAAAACTAACAGCTCTTATATTTCATTTGGGAAACACTGCCATTTAAATGCCACACTCATTAACTGATGACCTACATACAGTGATCATGAGTGAAACCTCTTAGACATCATTTGTTCACATGCACGCACGCACACAGAGAAAGAGAGAGAATATGCATACAACACAGATGCATATTCAGTGTATGTATGTATGTGTGTGTGTATATATATATATATATATATATGTGTGTAACAACGTTCGTAGTTCGGGAAGAACTGAGGCTGGAACCAGCTAACACTCAAAGAAATATTTAATAAAATAAACAAACACAAAACAGCACGACAGCCCCTCGCGGACGACTGTCGCGCACAAACAAAACCAAACCACAAAATAAAGTCCAGGCCTGGGCCTCTCTCGCCTTTCACTGTTGTCACTCCTACTTTTATCCTTCCGGAGCTCCTCCGTGAGACTCCAGACCGGTGAGTGGTGCAGGTGTCGCGCATTAGCAATTACTCCACCGGCCTCGCTCTGTTCCCATGGCTCTCGGCCCCGCCCCCACTCGTCTCAATATATATATATATATACCCACGCGCACACACACACACACACACACACACACAAAGTGAATATGCAAACAAGCAAAGTCCGAAAGTCAACTTAATTTCTAAAGCGCTGTATACAATATAAACAATATGGATACAGCAGCTTCACAATAGTATCAAATTCAAATTTGACTGTAAAGCAGCTCTTATAAGTCAGTAGCTCAAGTCAGTTCAGTATTGATTCGGTTCAGTTGCATACCTGTGTAAAATCCATCAGTTGTACATACATACTGTACATACAGTGTATATGTGCATATGCATGTGTTTGTGAGTGCTTTGACAAACTCCTGTGCTCCACTGCACACTGAATAAGCAAAAGACACATGAGAGTAGTGTTTTACGTTTTCCACATCTGAGTGTAGTTTGGCGTGTATGTGGCTAATTATTGTATGTTTGTGTGTAGAGTTAAAGGCACAATATGTAAGGTTTTTTTATTAAAATATCCAAAAACCACTAGAACAGTGTTATATATTTTGCTGACTTGTGTACTTACATTATCCCAAATGTTTCGAAGAATGTTTAAATCCAGAGAAATAAGCATTTTTTTTTAGATTTATTTTTGCCGTTTTATTGATAGGATAGTAGTGAGACAAGAAGCAAAGTGGGAGAGAGAGGGGGGATGGGATTGGGAAAGGTCCACGACACTGATGTCGACGCACTGCCCACAAGAATATCAGTGATGACGAAATAAGCAATTTTAAATAGTGACACGGACTGTGTCTATAGTGTCATTGTGTCGTCTGCCAATGACGTCATAACCCCTTGATTTCTGGTTTTGTAGAAAACATGTAAACACCAAAGACACTTTAATATGATATGCATTTTATTTGACAGGTGACGACCGCAGAGAGTAGCATTATAACAGAACGCTCAAATGTATCTAGTATGATAAAACTGCGTTGCTTACTTCCGCTGCTTCCTGGAAGGAGCAGAAGCGGTCGACTGTGGCATAATAAAAGCTCTGCTGCTTTCGAGCCATGTGTCGCACTCGTCTCTCACTAGCAATTGCTTCAGTGGCCTCGTTTTGCTTCGACGGCTTTCAGCCTCACTCTGCTTCATACTAAGACGTTAGTAAATCTTTAATACATTAGCTCATCCATGAACATGATTTCTGCCCAAGTACCATCGGATTGCATCGGCTGTGGGGATGAAGACGACAACTCCCATGATTCCACACTCAGTCATGACAAAAAATTACATGACTACATGATTACATAATGCTGTAATCGGAGACTCCATCGTCCGGCACGTCCGTGCTACGTTAGCTGAAGATAAAGTGCACACTCACTGTTTCCCTGGTGCTCGTGTTCTCGATGTTTCTGAGCAGATACCCGCGATCCTGAAGGGCGACGAGAGCAACGGAGCGGTGGTGCTTCATACGGGTGTTAACGACACCAAGCTGCAGCAGACGGAGACAAGAGGGACTTCAGGAGCCTGATCGAGACGGTGTGCAGCACATCGCCCGCGACGACGATCATCGTGTCAGGACCGCTTCCCACATATCGACGAGGATACGAAAGGTTCAGTAGACTTTTTGCTTTAAATAAATGGTTATTGTCATGGTGTAAAGAACAGAAACTGCTCTTTGTTAATAATTGTAATATTTTATGGGAGCGACCTAGGCCTTTTTGCGCTGATGGCCTGCACCCCAGCAGAGTCGGAGCGGAGCTCATGTCGGACAACATCTCCAGGACGCTGCGCTCCATATGACTAGTAAGTCACATCTCAAATAACTGCTATGATTACTTTTGTTCTACCCGCTTAAATGATAGAAGTACTTGCACTGTACAATCTATAAAGACTGTGTCTGTTCCCCGAATAGTGAGGTCAAAATATAAATTTAATGCAGGATCTAGAAAAAATCTGATCGTGATTAAACAGAAAAATGTAACAATATATAGTGCAACAATATATAGTGATATTCTCAATGTTACTCAGAAGACAGGATACAGGTTTAAATCATTCGAAATACTTATTCTTAATGTTACACTGTCAGATATGCAAAAGAAATATATCGTAACTCTTGCTCTGGCTACTGTGTATAGACCACCAAGGCCGAATACAGATGTCCTAAAATAATTTGCAGATTTCCTCTCAGACCTATTGGTTACTGTTGATAAAGGCTAGTTCATGCATTCATGACCTCTAGACTGGACTATTGTAATGCACTGCTAGGTGGTTGTCCTGCATCTTCAATAAACAAGCTACAGATAGTCCAAAATGTAGCAGCTAGAGTCCTTACCAGGTCAAGAAAATATGATCATATTACCCCAATTTTACAATCTCGGCTACTTATTAAGGTTTCTGTTATGTTGGTTTTGTAGTGTTACTGTTGTGGTGAAGAGTAGAGCCTATGGTTAGGTTGAGGATGGACAACAGCACTTAAAGACTACTTATACTGCATGTTGTTTTCTTTACATAAAAGTGTCGTGAGTCTTTTTGATTACGTTAGTACGTGCCAGTGTGTTGTTGCTAACTAGCATTTAACTATAAAGTTCTGAATGAATGTGCTGTTAATGGAAGCAAGTTGTATATAATTATCATTGTGTTGAGTGGGGTGGGATCATAGAAGCTTGGCTTGGCTCCCATGGCTCTCAGCCCCGCCCCACTTGTCATAAAAATTTTAAGCTCTAGTAACTTAAAAAATTTAGTTTGTTTACTCAAATATTTTAAGGCAATAAGATTCCTCAAATGTTTTGAGTATTCTTAACTTACCAGGTTTTGAATAGTCTTCCTGATAACGTTTGGGGTTCAGACACACTCTCTCTGTTTAAATCTAGATTAAAGACATCTCTTTGGCCAAGCATTCAAATAATGCATCTCATAATCTTTTACTGCAGTTATATCTGATCAAATGCACATTATTATTCTTTAGTTTGGGTTAAACAAATCAATTTTGCTTGGTTGGAACAGCAGCTACACTAATTATGTCTCTATGTGTTTCTCCGTTTCTGCTGGGATTAACATCCCGTGGTAACTAGGATTTACACAAGCTTCAGTCTGGATCCAGAACACCTGAGAAGAGATGATGCAACCCTGAAACAACTTACAGAACTACCACATTTTGCTATAAGTTTGATTGCATCATATAATAATTGCTGTTAATAGAGTTCATTGTCTGTTTGATTACGTCTTTAATTGATTTTCCCGTACATTTCTGCCACATGTACATTAACTGACACTCACCACTGATAAGCTACCACTAAATATTGTAGAAACTTAATTGGCTGTACAGTTGCTTTGCATCGATTTGTATCGTGAAAAGCGCTGTACAAATAAACTTGAATCATCATCATCGGGTCACTGTTTCTCTTGCTTGTCTTGCCATAACAAACACAGTTATAGCAGACAAACAAAAGTTTAAATATTACCGCTCTACTGGCCAACTAAAGCAAACACTATTCTCCATAATAGTGACAAATGTAATATTAAAAAATTAAAAACATCTAAACATCATTAATCATGATTCCCGATACCAAGTTTGATACTACAAAAAAATACATATATTAATGCAAAAAATTAATTAATTCATTAATAAATGAATTAATAATTGATAAATATAATGATATTGGTTTTAAATAAATAAATAACAGTCAGTGAAAATGAATAAGGAGCACCTTTCAAGCAATAACATAAAGACTGCTAAGTTGTTTTGTCTATAGGTTTTATTTAAGCTGAAGTAATTCAGCTATGTGCACCAATTTTGCCTTTATCTTGTGAACACCGTTTCATTAATTACTGCATTCATACTGTAACTGCAGCATGTAATGCACAGATATTATGATGGTTCTTCACATGTGATTGCATTTATATTTGAGCTATCAACATGCCTCAGTACACAGCCACAACACTAGATATCAGCAAGAGGACTAAGTTTCCCTAAGGATTAAATCCTATCCTATCTTATCCTAGATGTGCCTTATAAAGTTGAACACTCACAGTAGCCTTGGGTTTTTGTTTCATTCAAACTAACAAAAATTGCATCCATTGTGGCAGATTGTTGTGGGAATCTGGTTAAGTCTCACGTACCTGTTGATGCATTGTATATGGTGAAACCCACTCCTCCTCCGATGCCCATACTGTGGGGATTAACCACACTCAAACACAGCAGAGTGGCGATAGCTGCATCAACTACTGAACCATTACGCTTCAGCATGTCCCTGCAAACACAAAAAGTGCTGTGCTAATTTAGGTGAAAAACAATGACTCCATATGAGTAATGCAAACTCTAGAGTTGCAAAAGTATCATCGCTCATGCAAGTAATCTCTCCCAGAATCATAAATGTGGCTCTTTGGAATCGTACCTCCCGATCTCAGAGCAAGTCCCGGCATCCGCTGCCACTGCTGCTTTA